GTAATAATTATAATATCATTGTTTGTATTTACAATGAAATACATTGAAAAGAATATGAACCAGAAAGAAATTGCAAAGACAACAACACTTTTTAAAATAAGTCACTAAAACATTGCATTTTCTGACTTTGGTAATGGTTTTGTTGTTTACAAAATGGAGCGAACTTTTTATGTTAAAATTGATGTCAACATACAAAAGAGAAAACTTCTATGTGTTTATAACATTTCAAAACACAACATGAAAAATCCAAAATAACAACAAAAATGCGACAAATGGAAAATACGACATTGAATAAAATCCAAAAATAATAGTTTTACAAAGTGAAAAAGTGTGATTTTGTAATATTACTAACATTATAATTGTACTTCCTAAATCAACGAAAGTATTTTGTTGTTCTTAAACTTATTTACAAAAAGAGGTGATGTTATTAAAATATTAACAATAACTGGAACATCAAAATTGACAAAAGGACTTGGCCCAGACGAGTTTGTAGAAGACAAGAAACTTGGGAAAAAATCTTTTGGAATTGTTTACAAAAGAATGTTTAGAAGAAATTGCATCTCAATTGAGAAGATAAAATTATGTAATGATGAAGACAATATTTCCAAATTTACAAAAAAGTGGAAATGTTTGACAAATTTTAAAATGAGTTTATTATCCGTTTCTTTGGCGCTGTGTTTATCTTGAATAAAATATGTTCAGTGATTAAGTATGCACAATATGATCTTTACAAGATTTGATAAAACACGAAACAAATGAAAAGGTTGATATGAAATTGCAAGTTAAAATGATGTTGAACATAAGCTTATGTTATTTTGTATTCGCGCCTTATTGATGTTTCACACATGAACATCAAGCCAAAGAATATCCTAATGTTTTCACTTAATTTAAATTATAAAGTTGATTGAAAAATTGACTGATTTTGGAGGAAGTAAAAATGTCAATATATAGATGACTAACATGACATTCACTAAAGGTATTAAGACTCCTAAACATGGCACCCGAAATTTGAACAAATAGCATAACAAAAAAGTTGACGTGTATTTATTTGCTATAACAATGCTTAAATGTTTATTGTGGGGTGAGGTGTTTCCTAAAAATATTAACATGTTCCCATGGTCAGTTGCAGATGATTTTGCTTCTGATAAAAGAACAAAAATTATCAAACATTTGAAGATAAATTTTGAAATGTGATTGAAAAATGTTGGAAACAAAAAACTCAAGAAAGGTATACATTCAATGAATTTAATGACGAACTAAAAACAACAATTTAAATTATTTTTATAAATTTTCTGTTTTAAACGTGTTTTCAATTTACATAACTTTTTTTGTTTTAAGTTAAATTGTTTTTATTGGAATATTAATTCATTTTATGATAATTTTCTTTTTTTTGGCTTGTGTTTTGTTATCCCTTGTAAGCTTGATATGCATGACTAAGTAATGCATTTTTTACTACACAAATGTGTAAATTTTAAATATAAATAGGTGACAATATTATAAATAATAACATTAAAATATATTTGTTACGGTAAAAATATAATATTTTTATTAATATGTATTTGATTTTTTTCCAAACAGAAATGCATTTTTAAGTAAAACAATATTTTTACATTTCAAAAACAAAATTATTTTTAATAACTATGTAAATTATACTTATATATTTTAATTGTGGATATTATAAACATAAATTGCTGGTTACACGACAAAAATGAATATAAATTAAAATGTTTTGAGTAATTAATCTAAAAACATCAGTTTTCAACTAAAAAACTTGACAATGAATTACAAGGGGATGACTGAAGAAACTATAAACAATTTTATTTCAAATCAAAGCGGTGATGGTTATTATTATGTTTCATCAGTCAATGCATTTCTTCTAAAGATGAACCATGGTGGACAAAATTTGACAACGATTATCAAAAATAATATTTTGAGTTTAGGCTTACTTTTATTCCTATTTTACAATATACACATTTTGTTTTAGCTGTTGTTGACAGTCAAGAAAAAATAGGCATAATATTTAACCCATTGGAAAATTATCACAACATTGATTATGTGTCATATTTAAAAGATATATTTAATACTCTCGGTTATAATGAATTTAATATTTACACTGCAACACGTTTTTGTAGACAGCCGACACAATCTCTTTTATGTGGTGTTTATGTTTGTTATTATGTCACAATGATGATTATGTTCAAAGATCGTATATCTGTTTTAATGCACAATCTTGATAATTTAGAAGTATTTATTGAAACGATTAATACGATTGCATACACTACTTTTATTAACAAAATTTACACAAAATTCAATGGAGAAAATGTTCTATTGGCAGATGATAAATATCATAATATAAATACAATTAATTCAATACAACAAATACTATCAATTAATAAAACATGTCAAAAAAGGAAAAGGCTCAAATACTATTATTACTAATGAGTATATTAAAAAAATGAATGTTCTTGTTGGTATAGAAACAAAATACAAATACAACAAAATTAGTTTAGGAAACGTGTTAAAATGTTATCAAGTTAGACCAACGAGAAGTGCAGAATATAGTGATAAGATTTTAAAAATGGCATTGGATAATCTTATTGATTTTATTTTTCCACCGCGGTTTATTGAAACATTGTTAACATATACTAATATTCATGGTAAATTTTCCGTGTTTATTTATAACACAACACATTTAACAACGCGGAATTGGAAAGATCTCGACAGAGATGAAATGTTTGGTATTTTACTATTGCAAAGTGTTTATAATGATACTAAATTAAGTCAAAGAAATATTTGGTTTGGAAAATTTGCAAGAATAGCATACATGTCTGCAATGTCTCTTAGAAGATACAAACAGATTTTGAGAAATCTTCACTTTGATAATTTATGTAAAAGAAAAGTAGAAGACTTACACGTTTCGCAAGATTTATTCGAAATGTTTGTAAATGAAAATTACACAAAAAGAAAATATTCAAAAAGTGAAATTGACGAAGATAGTTTTTCTGATACAAGTTTAAGCACTCATTCATCTTCAAGTGATTCATCTGATTCATCTGAAAATGATCAGTATTTATCTAGTGATGATTCAAGTGATTCATACGAAACCCAACAT